CTGTATGGAGAACCGTGGATCAGAAAATACAAGACTCTAAAGGATGTGGACATTACAAGCTGCACAGACGGAGATCCGTATTATGAATTACATTTCGAACTCTACATTTTGAACCCTCTGCTAAAGACATTTGTAACTATGCCTTAAAAAAATCAACACTACGCACAGACCACTGTTTACGAAGAAAGTATACAAACATCAAGATGAGTTTAGCCTGTAAATGGTCCGTATTACAAAAAAAAAAATCTCTTTTGAAATGACAAGGAAGTGATCAGGTGCCATAACACAACATCTGTTTTGATATTGGAGAATTACTACTGCATATGTGCGCCCGAACCGTTCTGAATAGGGTTTGCTATCTAAGCCTGATTTGCTCAAGAAACCCGAAGCTGTCTTATGGCTTTCGACATGTTCTGCCTAGCCGCCTTATTAATTCTTCCTTTCAATCAGTTACGGCCGTCAAAAACTCACGTCAGAAAATGTAAATGAATATCTCCTGCCCAGCAGTTCGTCAACACCTATTTTTCTTTTATATTTGTTCTTCAGCTGGACGACCACTCAATCTAGTACACCTCCTGTTGTAACCACTGCCAAGCTAAATTTACAAAAAAGATCATAAAATTAACTTGTAAGTTTAACTCTTTAACAAGAGGCCAAATAAAGATGACCTACTCAGAGAATATTACGTTCTGATAACAATGGTGCTATGAATACAAATAAGCGATCAATTCCCGTAATCGTTTGTACTGTACACACGAAAACACCATATGTTTCAGGATGGTACTAGTCTTAGCGCAACTGGATCGAACATATCCGGAAGTTGATCGAACTTCAGTGGGAAAACTGTTGACTGAAAATAATTCCATTCTGCATCGCATGATTCAAGCAGTGCAAAGCACTCACCCAACAAAAGTATTCCACCGCTTCACCACACCTCATTGGAAAGCTGGCACTTCGGAGCAATCTATGCACTCAGCAAACGAGCAGCATTTCGACCAAAAAAACGTACAGAACACTTCCCATTGTTGCTAGATACAAGATGCAGTTCATTATCAAAATCCACGATGTTTGAAATGAAAAACAGTAGCTTATGGAAGTGAAACGGCAAAAACCGTCACTACGGAGGGGTGCACTCTGCACATAGTCCTGTTACCCTATGAAGCTTTGATTTAAACTACACGACGGCTATGTGCAGAAAAGTCCTACAACGAGTAGGGTGGACGCGAAAGAATGACTGGAAGAGTGCAGAAATATGTATAACCCAATGTTTCAGTGTTTTCACGGCAATATACGATAACTTAGTTCAACGGGAATTGGTAACGGAGCTGAGAAAATATGAAATCAGCAGTGTGAATCAAACTTGCCACTGTTACACTAATACCGCCTACAGTATGTGGGAACACAAGTCCCAAATAATAAAATTCTGCAAAATTGAGGAAAATGTTGCAGTACCGCTTTACAAAAAAAGGAGGAAAGACCGCAATGAGTTAAGCAAAGGGAACGCCAGTTTGGGCAGACGACGTCAAAACTGAAGTGGCACGAAATTCGGGAAAAAAATGCATCAAAATTAGTGATTCGCAAAAAATGCTACGTTATGTTGAGCAAAATTCGCAAACGAGAGTTCGGCAATGGTGAAGAAATTGATTGCCACTGGCTCGTTCAAATCATCTGGATAATTCTTCAGCATCTCTGCTGCACTTACAATTTCTCCTTTGTACAGCAAACATATTGCTGCGTTGTTACATGTCTGGAACAGAAAACACATAGTTTCTTTCATAACACAGAGTTTTATCACTTTTCATTGTAATCCGTTAACAATAATAACGGTGAAAACATAATTCCTTCCAAAAGCCAACAATGAAAAACTTTAAGAACGGGGAAAAAATGAGTTGGGTTAAGAAAAACAGAAAATGGAACAAAGAAAATAATTGGCCAACGCACAGGCTGTCCGCACGAAGATGCGTTTTTTCCATAGCTCCCCGCAGATTTTTGTCGCTAACACCACTGTTTTTCCCGGCAGATTTTTTTAGCTAAAAGAATTTCAGACGGCCGCCAGGACTGTTAGAAAACATCCCTTCAAAATTCCAGTTTTCTAGCTTTTCAGGTCCCCGAGTTAGCGGCTTACCCTAAAAACTTTCACAGGCCCATACGTGGGAATGACTCATATCCGGGGGCTAGGTTTGAGCTCATTAATACCTAC